CCCGGTTCGTGGTTCTCCTCCACTTCTTCGTGCCCGATTATTAACGCCGGATACCAGTCTTCATCGTCGCATTCCACAAATACTATCTCACCATATTTGAACATCGTCCCTCCGACACTGAACAGCACGGAACGACGCGGCGCACTGTCGAAAAGCATCACCGGCTTGTCCGTAGTGTTCTTGTACATGCAGATGTCCCAGAATTCTGAGGCAACATCCGGTTGTCCCAGGGCAACATCCGGTTGCTGGCAAACGATGAATTAAAACGAACAAGATGTTCAAAACCAGGCAATCATCCGATCTTTTTGAAAATTTGTATTAAAAGACGTGAGATACTTTGTAATAAAAGATTTAGCTATAAACTTCCGCCTGAAACAACATTAAATTCATAGCTTGTTCCTAACATTAGAATCGATCAAATGGTACCCTGAGCTTTTTCAATCGGCAGAAACCGCGAACAAACGGTTTCAGACCAATATAAACAAAACCATTTGGGCATTAGAATGATAAAAGACAATACTACAAAACAGTATTTCTATTGCATAAAACAATACTACAAAAAACAAAGAGAGTTATTGTGAATGAATACTGATTACACTAATTAAATACTGTACCATGTACCGGGCCATCTCGAAGACCTACCTGCCATCTGGCCCAAATTTGCACATACAGTGCAGACGATATTTTTGCGCAGACGAGAAGAGCGAATGGCAAAATGTGCTAATGATTAAAGTGGAATTCCGTACCTTGAGAGGACCGCTGGCCATCTCAGCATCGGTCAACAGCGGAAAGCGCACCCGAAACAAGACGTTCCCCAGCACTTCCCGCCGGTTGGCGGATGATGGATCCATGTTCTGGCGCCTGCAGGTCTCGGCAGCCCATCTGGAACGCGGAAAATGTAACGTGAAAGCTCAAAAATATACAGCGCATTTTCCCAGATTAAAATCATGCCATGAGGAAAAATCTTCTCCAAAGCACGCTTCGGAACTTTGGTAGTTCCGTAAAAAAAGTGCCGCTTACGCCTCGACAGCTGTGTAGATGATGTTTTCCGGTGCCGCCAGTGTGTCGCGCTGTACAATCATCTGGAGAGTCCGATGGCTCAGTGCAAAAAAGTGTTCCAACAGGAAAACGGCTCCATCCGAAGCGTCGATCAGATGCAGGCATTTCTCCACAATATTGTCGAAATCCGGGCACCACGCGTTAGCCTGCAGATAACAGCACACGTAAAAAAATCGATGGAAATTGCACCACATTGTAACTAACATTTTCCAGCGCCACGAGGCAGTTGTCGGGGTGGAGATGCTCCAAAATGTAGCAGCAGCAGCAGAGATCGACGAGCAATGGGAAGTCGTATTTATCCGCGCAGGACAAAGTGGGAAATGAGTTCTCCAGATTGAGATCACTCACTGCATCTGAGTATACATAACTACCAAAAACAACACGCCTCTACACTCAAAATAACGGATGCGTAAGAAATGTAGAGAATTCACGCACCTGAGCGTGTTACCGAAGGCTTCAGACGGAATGTCAGGGATTTCGACGACATCCTGGATTCCTGATTATTCGCAGGCCGAACAAATCCCCATGGAACATGGCGTGGAACACATCGCTGCTCAGGCTCAGAAACATCCTACACAAAATTCAGACGTCCATCACCGAAAACGACGCACCCATTCAAGGGAGCTCCTCTGGCAAATATTCGTTATTTTTGGTAGCGTCGCCACGTACTTACTTATGTGCATGGAAGATCTTCACTTCACAATAATCGCGTCCAACAGCGAACTGCACCAGAGCCTAAAATCTTCAAAATCTATGTGAGCACACTTAATTTCGCAAAGAGGGGGTACTGATTATTTGCTCTGTATTTTCATATTGGCTGATATTATCAGGACTCGGGAGTATGTATACAAGTACAGGTGCAACTGACGTTAGCAAATTTGCAGAAAACTTAAGGGGCGCATAATATGCGCCGCATATACGCATCCAGTAAAACTCAAAAAAACATGAGTTGTGAGATGGGTCAAGTTGCTAGTCTTTTTCTGCAAGATGGTTGTTAGTATGACAGTGGTTATCTTTTTGCAAATCCTTTGATGTCGAACCGATGCCTCGCGCGAAGCGCGAAGCCGACGATGCTTTTTGTCCAGGAAATACAAGAAATTCAATAAAATTAGGCTAATTATTAAAAAATGTTTCGGGTTTGTCAAATTTGTTGAATAAATAAAATAGCGAAGCATTTTGTAGCAAACAGATTCTTTTGCCCTGTATTTGGTGTTTGAACATGGCCATGGGCTGGCTGCATTGATGACCTTACGCGAACATTCGAACGGTATCCGTATTCGTATTGGACCGGGTCTACTGGTCTTTCAAAAAGAGGAAGAAAACTAGAATAACATCGAGCTTGATCGTTGTGGTCGACTAACATTGCAAGTATTAATTACTAAAGCTGTAAAACTATGGACCAGTGGAGATACTGTATATGCGCCGATACCTCCGTTATCGGTTATTATTTACAGGGAGGTCTGGCAGTTGACACTGGACACGTTTTAACGTATCCACACTTACGGCGCTGCATATTTCAAATGCACATTGCTTTTGTTGTACGTAGTAATAATGCTGTTTCGTAGGCTAAATCTAAAAGCGGAAACGAGGAAAAAAGTAGGTTAGTGATTTCGGAAACTATTAATAAATATAGTTATAACAAAAATCTCTGTTGTTTCCGGTACGCAAATGGCATTCCCTCTTTAACTGTACTGTAAATGGACAATTAGATATTGCTGAAACAACCACTAGAATGCCGCATGTCTAAGCCGGAAAGCTAATTCTCTTGAACGACTACGAGATCATCCCCGTGAAAGTAGAAGCACACATTACAGTATTTGTCAAAACCACAATGATACCGGTTTCTTGGTTTTTAGATAATCTACTATTATTACCGTACAAGTGCTAAGCGCGTGTGATTTAAGCATCAGGAGCACTATTGTGCATGTAGGCTATGCAGCGTCAGAAGTGTGGTTACTATAAAACGTGCCCATAGGCACAACTCCCACTGAAAGATAACGTGACACGCATTGGTTTAAAGCGTTTTCCTGTTCGTTTGCGCGAATTTTGCTCTTTTAAAAAATAAAAAAAACAATCTGAAGCCGATTAATTACACAGAAGGGGGGAGTATTGACAATTTTTAAGCACCAGTTCCCATTTAGGTGAGCACATGCACTTTTATGTGAGCACATTTTGTGCTATGTGAGCACAAGTTTTTAGGCCCTGAACTGCACATCACTCAGCTCGGCTAGAGTTAAGGAACGCTTCATGCGAGTGGCCACTCCATCCAGTGCGCCGCGACGTCGTAAATACACAGGGAAAGAAAAGTTGTCGGACATGGTGGATCATCCAAGAAGCCTGCTCCGTGAATTGTGCTCCGTCTTCGGATTGCTCAACTTGCAAGACCAATATCTGATCCAAGCCTGTCAAAAAACCTGGAACAAATGAGAAAGCGAAGCAACTTTGACAGAAAGTATAAGTATCCTGACGGGTCGATCAAATCACAAACATGATAAGCAGAAGTAGAACAATCCAAAATAGCAGTTTCGGAGTCTTTATGCTGTTGCTGAACAGTGCAAAGTCAAATGGAAATCGTTACCGGAAATTGCAACCGGAAGTGGATAACACCGCCGCCCGCGAGGTTTTGTATACGCTTATCCTCTGTGCAGGGCATACCGACCGTGCCAGCGGTTACGTAATCTTCCCTCGAATAACATTTCTTTTGTCTGGTGGAACAGCGACTGTCTCCCACCCGTAGCGGCGGTGCGATTCTTAAGACCTAGCCGAGCATGTCACAATCGAGAATGTCACTTGTGAAAATGTGATCTAATCAGTTGTGTTGACTTCGCGGGTAGCAGGCCATCTGCAGTATACCGGTTACTTTTCCGTCTTACGTGGCCTGTTCGTGATCGACATCGTCTGCGATATCCGGCGGCGCCGGCGCCTCTGGTGCAGTGAATGATGTGAGTGCACTGGTGCACCAGGAGGACTTGGCAGTCAGCGATGTGCAGTTTGTTGCCGGTCAAGAAAAATCCCTTCACCTACAGAGAGCAGCACCTAAGTGCGAACCTTTTCCTTAGCACAGCATGTCAATTCCCGGTAACTGTTAATGACAAAAGCCTTGATTATTTGCAGGCTTCGTTAATTAATGACAAAAGCCTTGATTATTTGCAGGCTTCGTTGGCTGATGCAGGCCTATTTCCTGCAGTTACCAGAGAAACCCGCCCTCTGTATAAAGCCTTTCGGTAAAATGTTTCAGTACAACTTGAACGCTTTGTCGATCGCCCAGTGGCAACCATACCGGCCTAAAATCATGGTGCCGTGGTTTCGACTCCCGCGATCGGCAGATTTTTTTCAGAGTTTCTATGTGAGCTTAACCCAGCCCAAGCATGGGGTGCAGATACTACCGATCCCGCTATTAAGTTATTAAATTAAATTAAATCGATTTTCACTTAACCGAAAATAAATTGCCATGTTGCTGACTGTTGATAACAATTATCACTAAGAGATTACCGTAAACAGAACGAGGAACAAGTAAACTAGAGGAGGATCTGAAACATGCCCATAACAAAAACCAAGCGAGATTACAAAGCTTTGCCCAATATATAAGCAGTAAAAGAGCGTGCGCGTATTACCGGTTAATGTTACACGAGCACTGCATACAGTGGCATATTTTCAACAGTTTACTTCGTGTTTGTTGGCTGTTTCCCATGCTATGACCTCGTTTTCACGCAGCAGCAGATCCTCCGTCTTAACCGACATTTCCCGCCCATCAACCTCCACTACATGCTGGCCCGCCCGCCGATGACAGTAGCTAACTGCACTGGGCACACCGGAAACGAGTATATGGAGCCGTTGGCCACGTTGCAGAATATCCGCAGCACGAATAATGTACTGAGAGTTAATGTAGGGCCAGCATTTATGGATCTTTCCCATCCAGTGAATTCTGACATTCTGCTCTGACACTCCGATGACCTCCGCCGGTACCAGACGTCATCGACGCCCTGCGCAAAAACCGTTTCGTTGTGTTTGAATACCACCTCCCCGACGCGGTACTGCACGTAACTACGCGGTTCACAGTCAAAAGATAGCTCGAGATTCTCGTTGTTATGTTTGTACATGAAGATGTCCCAGAGTTCCGCTGGAAGCAACAAAGCATTCTGAAAAGAAAACACACACATCTTAATTAGATATGCGGGATCCGCTTGTATCGTAGATACTGTGACCATACTAACGTTTTTTGTCGCTTTAAAGGAAATAACCTTCTATACATCCACTGAAATGTTCGCTTTCGCTCATTCAGGCGTTTGATTTTACCCGTTCTATGTCATTCTACAACCGAATGATCTGTACACCTTGGCGCGAAATAAAAGAGCAAAAGGTTCAGCCGTACAGCCATGCTCTAAATGTCATCCTGTCACCCGATTTTTGTAAAATGGCACATAACTTTCAATGAAGACGTGGAGATTATGAAATTAGTGCGAGTTTCACCGGTTAGAAGTCGTAAAAAAATGGTAACAAGGTGGCAAACCAAATTTCTTAACTGAAGAACAAGTACTAGTAGGGCGCACGTCGGAGACTCAAAATATGACGCAAACCACTACCAAATGGGGATGGCTGTACCGGCACGTACTTTGAGAGGGCCACTGGCTAGCTCAGCATCGGTCAACAGCGGAAAGCGAACAAGGAAGAGAACGGCACCCAGGATTTCCCGCCGATTGGTGGTGGATGGGTCCACATTCTTGCGCTTGCAGGCCTCAACAGCCCACCTAAAAGGACTTAATCAATTAGGAACAACCCAAATCTTAATCGCATTTCAGCGATTAAGACTGACGCAGTGTTCTCCAGTCGCTCCGGGCTAAAAATGACAGATGTCACTTACGCCTCGACAGCAGTGTAGATGAGGTATTCGGGCGTCGCCAGTGTGGGGCGTTGCACAACCATCTGCAGCGGTCCCATGGCTCAGTCCCCGGAAGTATTCCGAATGGAAGACGGCACCGTCCGAGGCGTCTATCAGATCCAAACATGCCTCCACAATACTGTCGAAATTCGGGCCCCAAACGTTGATCTGCAAAGTGCAAACGCTTCAATTTTTGTGTAAGAAAAATCATTGTAATGTTAAACGAGGCTTCGTGTGTTTGAAATGGAATAAATATCATAAATCATTAATAAAAAATATTCATGAATTACTACCAAAATTGTTTCGCCTCGCGAGTCGGGATAATCGTTATTTTGACTGCGGATTCAATGCCATAAATTTCGAACGTTATAAATATCTGTAACAATTTTCTGATAATTGGCAATTTTTGTGGAAATTATACCGTAGTATGTGCTGAATATAAAGAAAAAATAAGAAATATCCTTATTTGTTCCTTGCTCCTTATTTGTTCCTTATTTAAAAAATAAGAAATATCCTTACTTATTCCTTAAATATATAAGTACCTTGCTCGTAAAGATTCTAATCAAATCATTGGATTGAAGATCAGTATGAGATCGCTCGGAAACTGTCTGCTTTCAACCACAGAACGATTCTGACAGTATTAGTATCGCATTCCAAACGAAAACAAGCTTCTGTTCAGTGCAACTTACATTTTCCAGAGCTATGAGACAGTTCTCTGTGTTGAGCTCCACCAGTATATAGACGCAGCAGATCTCCGCCAGCCATGGCAGGTCATACTTGTCGGCGCAGTACAAGGTGGGAAATACGTTCTGCCAATTCAGATCGTCCACGGCATTTTCGTATATACATATAACTATCAAAATTTCCCCAGGATGGTAGAAAAAAAAACAAATACAAAAATTCATAAACTTTGTGACCTACCTGAGCATGTTAGCAAATGCTGCGGACGGAATCTCGGGGATCTGGATGACATCAAGGTTACCGTCAGCCAAATTCCCGTAGAACATAGCGTGAAAAACATCGCTGCTCAGGCTCAAAAACATCCTACAGAAACAGAAATTCAAGCTTACTAAACAAGTGCAAAGGAGCTCCTTCGTCGAAATATATTCTCGTGGCGTTACCACGTACTTGTGAGCATGAAAGATCTTTTCTTGGCCATGGTCGCGCCCCACGGCGAACTGTACATCGCTCAGTTCGGCGAGGGATAATGCACGCTTCATGCGACCGATCACCCCGTCAATGGCGCCGCGACGCTGTAAATACGCAGGGGACGTTGAATTCTGGGACATGGTAAAATTTTCGAATGGGGAACGGTATAACTGCCACAGTGCTGCGAATCAGTAATACGACTTATTACTCGTACAATTCAGATATTATTTCAACCTGCAGTTTAAGTCAATTAAGTGGCTAATTTATTTCCGTCTAGACATAGTTTTATCAAGTGGGAAGAGAACAACGCTGTGAGAAATTTCTGCAGTAGCTTAAGAACACTACGCGAAACTCCACGTTAAACCGGAAATTACTAAATACTTCTAACTTACTAGTGCTGATCAGACCTGGCTAAACGTTTGGAAGATGTTTTTGCTGAAGTAGGGCACAACGATCTCTTGCGCGCCCGTATATATATCAACCTTTATTGAGTTCCGTATGCTGTTATGCGGCAAAAAACCCCTATTACAAATTAGGGGAAAAGGCACGCATAACCTATTCTTTTTCGAAAGTTTTGTAAACAAAACTCGTGCAACGGAAGCAACAATAAGGTAAAAGACCGCTTGCTCTCCACTACTTACTTTACACATCAATCTTTTTTTTGGTATTTTCTAGAAAAACTTTAAAATATATAGAAATTATAGTGGTTATGAGTATGGAAAGGACGATCACAATACAGATTATGCGGGATGTATGGCACGCAACAATGCAACACACACCAACCACATAAAAAAATGAACATAATCAATAAACATACAGACTCATGCACTCGCTCGAAGGAGGGTAGGCATGGCGTTTTGGCTGGATTGCGACGGCGGATTGCATTGACTGCACACGCTTGATGGGAGAGAGAGAAGAAAAATATAAGACGGAGCGAGTCAGCGTGAGAACGAGAGAGACACAGCGCTCAGAGAGCTGGCCGTCGAGAATGAGATCACAGTGAGTACGAGACCCGTAGCTGACTTCAACAAACAGTGGATGTGACTTGGTTTTCGCAAACCCTTTAATACAGCAATAGGAGGATATTTCACATGCAGAAACCAAAACACTAACAATTTATTAAAAAGTTATGAAGACATCAGAATTTTTCAGATTTGATTATCAGGCTTTCATTTCACATTAAAACTATGCCTTCCGTAAAATTCAGAAAAAAACAAAATTTTCACAAGTTATGAATTATTAATTATGAAAATTAATATGCACTAGTTAAACCGTGAAAAGCTTAGTCGGGCTAGGTGGAAGCCATTGTTTATCCGAACGCTTATTAAAAATTGCGTAACTACAACAAACAGCAATTTTAGCCATTTTTTTACAAATAACCGAAGATGTGCTTGACTTGCAACCAGATATTTGTTTTAGCAAACACGTTACATTACTGCTGGTACTTTTGGGAATCATTCCCAAAGACCCCACAGCTATATGATGTTGTTTTACTGTCCAGCCTAATCCTGCAAGATCGTTTTGTAGGCTAGCATACCGCGTACTTTTCCTTGACTCAGCATTGCGAAAGCTTTTCACAGATTCGAAAGGCACCGTTACTTCTACCACATCAATACGTTTTAACGACCTGTTAATTATAGTTATGTCAGGAAACACGTTAGTAGAAAGAATGTCAGCAGGGATAGTGTCAACATGCGAGGAATAGGAGTCAGCCGCTAAATCGCACAAAACTTTCGTGTTTTTGTCGGTGTCCTTGGTCGCCGCAATTAGTTCATCTGCCAGTGCCTTGACGATACTGTTATGCCTCCATGTAAAGCGAGCAGACTGTAAAGAGACTGGACAACCAATAAGTATATGGCCGAGTGTGCCTGCCGCATGACCACATAATAAACAAATGGGAGACACCAGTTTGCCCCATTTATGGAGGTTGGTGAAGGAAGGGGCGACATTTAGTCGGGCTTGGGAGAGAAATGCGCAAGTACTTCGTGGTAAATCAAATTTAAGGGAGGCCCAATAAGTGTCGGCGTCTTCCTCATTAGCAACACGCAGCCAGGCACCTTGTTGAATGAGACTGGCCACGTGTTGTTCTCGCTCCAAGGTGATGATAGAGTAAACATGGGAAGACACATTGTCTTTGGCAGCGGTACGTGCTTTGTTGATAACAGCGGTGCTGTTAGTGTTGACTACAATAGCGGCACGGGCAATCTCAGCTTCAGACTGAATAACAGGTGCAAACTGGTGCATAGCATTAGAGGGCGATGTTATTACTTCATCAGCGGCACACTGAACTACTGGGTCAGCTTCAGAAATCAAACAATCGACAATAAGTCCACCACGGGCTTGGTAGTAGGTGTTTTTAATAGATTTGAAATTAGCGCCCTGTGGCAAGAAGAGAGAATCGGTATTAGCACAGCGAGGAAGGCGAAGCCATTTACGTAAAAACTTATTCGTTAATGTTTGCAAATTTTCAACTGCAGCAGGGGAAAGGTCATGCACAGTCAAAAGGAAACGAACACACTGAACGATATAGTTATTATATATCCACAGTTTATATTCTTCACGAAGAGACAGTTGGTCGGTTTTCAAAAGCAAATCCATTAAACAATTGTTAATGCTTTTATGAGCATTACGACGCTGGTTATTTGAAAAGACATATGAACCCAGAAACTTCATTGGCTCCGATTTGATATTAGGCACAGGAACTCCGTTAATGAAAAATTCATGATCAGAAGCAATACCTTTTGTCAAAGAAAAAGACCTGCATTTCGAAACTTTTAAAAAAAGGCCCATATTTGCCATTCGGATGTTTACTTCACGCAAAAGTTTATCCATAGAGCGCTTGTGATTAGTAATTAACGTCAAATCATCTGCAAACGCAAGCGCTACCACTTTTTCATTATCGATCTCAATGCCGGCATTGTTATTCTGCTTCAAATATTCAAGCACTGGATTAAAACACAACAGAAACAGGATGCAGCTCATCGAATCGCCTTGAAATAGGCCAACTTTAAAGGGGATGGGATTAGTAATAAAATCATTATTCTGCACCTTGACGGATAAGCCATCATAATAGGCCAGAATATAATTCACGTAAGACGCGCTGATTCCATAACGAGAGAGAACATCTTTTAATAATTCATGTCTCACTGAGCCGTAAGCATTTGGAATATCAAGCCACGCAACATGCAAAGCGCGCTTCAGTTAGCGCTGCTTCTCTATGATATGCTGCAATTTTAACGAATGTTGCCCACAGCCGTTCATGCACTCAATGAAACCTTTCTGTACAGAGACGTCAATAATATTATTTTTTTGGACAAAAGAGAGGATACGGTTTGAAATGACGGTATGCAAAATTTTAGCACAGCAGCTGGTTAAGGTAATCGGCCGGTAGTTAGAACAATCGTTGGCGTCACCGGCTTTGTACAGGAGGATAGTGCGACCGACTTTCCACGAAGCTGGCGGGTTGGCCGAGGAGATAATTTTATTATACATATACGCCAAAAAGTTATGCAACACAGGAAAATTTTAAAACACCGTATCCCAGTCCATCTAAGCCCGACCCAGTACGCCCTGACTTTTCTTCAAAGCACCGTTGACTTCCTGCCCAGAATTGGAGATTCATTGAAAGGCACAGAAATTTCAGGAGATTTGATTTTTCAAACCATGTCAAATTCAGCGGTTCAGGCGCTGCCGGATTATACGTTTGTTCAAAATGCGATTCAATCTCAACTTTGCCGAGGCAATTAGTATTGGCGCCACCGGATTTTGAAAATTGTTCTTTAATGAAAGCAAATCGGTTTTAAGAAAAACTTTTCATTAGACTGCATCTCAGAGGCCTTTTTTAATTCCGAAATCTGGTTGCACAACTTTTTGTTAAGGACACGGAGATGCTGCAGAGCACATACATCCTCTTCCGGTAACTGAAAACCACGCGTCTGCAACCGCCTACGTTTGCGAATAATTTTAGTAATACGACCAGCAATTTTAAATTTTTCATCAAGTAATTCACGTGGAACGGACCGTTTTAAAATTTTATCGAAATAAGTGGAGTTATTTACAGTTTTACAATTAAGAGCTTTAATAAAGTAGTTAGCTAGAGACCAGGTTAGTAATTCTATAGCGTTGGCTTCCGAGATACGACCCAGTAGTTCAGCATTTTTTAGCCGAGCAGTAACATCACCAAGAAAATTTTCAAACCTGACGGTGACATCAGAGGATAGTGATTCCCAGTCTGGCTGGATGATTTTCGGACGGGAACAGTTTTCCTGGCATATCTGGGCAATACTCGGTGCTTGCTGGTCGTCAGCGATGATACCAGATAATAAATTGTATAAATTATCAACATTATTAATGCAATAATTAACAATACGGACAGGGGCGGAAGACATTTTTTATGCACAAGTAACTCGCAAATAATTACAGAAAAAATTAAAATTTTAAGTTCCAATACGGTAGTATAAATAAATCAGGATGACGCGGTCAGGAGAGCAAGGTGATAACAAAGATAACGCGAGTGCGCTAGTACATCCACATTACAAAACGCAGCTTCGAAGCTGCGTTAAATTTCTATTTCACATACACATTCACCTCCGTTGTTGTGCATAGCCAACCGAGCTTTACACGGTGGTCACCGGAACCCGTAACATATAGTAAATATCGAAGCATTCTAATTGCTATTGCTAATAAAATGTGATCAAGTATTAATCCGCATTAATAATTTAGCCTCACTTAGATTTAAAAGTTTTTACTGGTAATAGACTATTAGTGATTGTAAATTTAGTAATTACGATTAGCAGTTAAAGTAATTATTATCAGTGATTACAATTATCAATGCACATTTGTAATATTGTGTAGGTTGCGTTACTGTAATTAAGGCTAATTACATTAATTAATAACGCGTATTAATTAGCTAAGTTACATTGAGTAAATGGATACATTCTTTTCTTCAGTTAAGTTGCAAATTATTGCATTAATTAATGACACCCCAATCATGCGGATCAAAACGCGCCTCCGGCCCTGCTGCACAGTTCGTTTTGTCAGTACGCAGCACGATTCATTTAACTGTCAGTGCTTGCGTTTTCTGTGGTGATCCACTGCTTATTACTGGTCCAACGCATTTGTATTTTTTGCTGTGTGTCATCCATCGGTGACGCATTCAGCTTTCACATTTTATTTCGCGATATCTTTCTTGAGAGGATTAGCTAATATTGATCGGGTCTGTCTGACCCTTTCACTTGTTGCTGCTTGCAAGTTGCAACCGGAAATACAGTTAGCAACCAGAAGTACGATGACCGTCCCCGGCGGGGGTTTGTGCAGCAGGAAACCGCGTCAGCGACTCCCACCCTTAGGTGGCGTTGTGTTTCAAAAAGCCTCAGGTAGACTGAAACAAGCGTGCTCAGTGCTCACTGCATTCCTTAACAATCAGCTGTTTGACTGCAGGTTAAAGTAGCTCAGTTTTCTGTTCTAATTTGCAAATCGTTAGTGATATCGACTTGCACTGAGATTTTTAGTTTTATATTCTGCGTTTTCCCTACTATCGGGTCTAGTGAGCCATGTGCGACTCCATGATGCCCCCCGATCGCGGCGCAGTGGATCCAATTCTGCACGAAGAGGAACTAGCAATCCGCGATGTGGACTTCGTTGTTGGACGGGATCATGGCCAAGAGAAAATCTTCTCTGCATCCAAGTACGACAGCACTGTGCATGTACCGGCAATACCGCAAGATAGGGATATGGCCAAAAAAGGTTCAAATGACAAGATTGTTGATGCTCCTTACTCAGAATTTTTTTCTGAATCGAATGAGCCGAGACAAGCGCGGATCCGAAGTCACGTGACTGAGCTATGAGTCAGTTTGTATAATAGGTGCTTTGTCATAGTTTTTTATGTAATACCAGTGATAAACACATGTTTTATAGCTAGTTTTGTTCATAAAAAAAATTCTGAGTCGAATGATATGTGAATCACGTCGATCAGAGATCGCGTGACCAAGTTATGAATTTATTCAATCATTTTCTGGATTTCAGGAGTTTAATAAGTACTCCTTCTTGCTGATGACGTCATATACACGTCATAAATGACACGTTCGACTCAGATTTTTTTCACTCATAAAGGTCAAGCTAGGTCTCAAAGGTCACTTGACTGAAGTACTGAAAACGGTTAAAATTAAATAAAAGATGCTTAGCGGTAATGTTATTATTCAGCCAACTTATTTTCGCCCAAGATATTTTGGGTTACTCTAACAGTTTGTGTATTCACAGCTAGGTGACTCGTTTCTTTAAAAGAGACATATGGGCTGGTCACAGCTACCAGCAATGTTACTCCTTTGAGTCCTTTCCTTAAACGAAACAGAACTAATGACACCCCACAGCAGTGTTACTCCTTTCTTTAAACGAGACAGAAGTGGTAACACCCAACAGCAATGTTACTCCTTTCTTTAAACGAGACAGAGGAAGTAAAACCTCAAACCAATGTTACTCCTTTCTTTCAACAAAACAGAAGAAGTAGCACCTCACAGCAGTATTACTCCTTTCTTTAAACGAGACAGAAGTAGTGACACCCGACAGGAGTGTTACTCCTTTCTTTAAACGAGACAGAACTCATGACACCCGACAGGAGTGTTACTCCTTTCTTTAAACGAGATAGAGGAAGTAGAACCTCAAACCAATGTTACTCCTTTCTTTAAGCAAAACAGAAGAAGTGGCACCTCACAGCAGTAGTACTCCTTTCTTTAATCGAGACAGAAGTGGTAACACCCCACAGCAATGTTACTTCTTTCTTCAAACGAGACAGAACTAATAACACCCTATAGCAATGTTACTTCTTTCTTTGAACGAGACAGAACTAGTGACACCCCACAGCAGGGTGACTCCTTTCTTTAAACGAGACAAGTAGAACCTTAAACCAATGTTACTCCTTTCTTTCAGCAAAACAGAAGAAGTAGCACCTCACAGCAGTATTACTCCTTTTTTGAACGAGACAGGAAAGGTAACAACTCACAGCAATGTTATATCTTTCTTTAAACAAGACCGAACTAGGAACACCCCACAGTAATATCACTCCTTTCTTTAAACGAGACAGAACTAGTAACACCCTTCTGCCTTGTTATCCCACAACAATATTACTCCCTGCATTGCATACACCACACAACACAGTTACTCCTTTCTCTAAGCAGGGCAGATAAACTGTAAACACCCAACAGCAATCCTACTCCTTTCTGTAAAAAGACAGAAGAAGGAACACCTAAACGCAACGCTACTCCTTTCTTTAAACGATACATGAATAACTGACACCCCAGATTTGGGTTTGGTTTCGTTAATTGTTACGCAGTTTAGGTTACCTCTTTCTTATGTTTCCTTGTTATATTTATGATTAATTATAATTCTTGTGTTATCTTATGTTTCTTGTAATCGTTATGATTCGTTGTTTTTTATCATTTCCTATACTCCCTAAGTTTTATCTTTGATGTGAATCGCCAAAATAGATGTTTGCTTGTGACCTTCAGATGACCTTTACTCCAAAGGTCATATGACGATTCATTTCAGAGAAACGGAGTCGAGTGACGTCATCAGCGTGTCCTGCTTTCGTGGGTCTTTCCCAATTTGTACGTCACCGTGGTTAAATGGCACGAAAATGACTAGTTTAAAAAAGGCCCGAAAATTGACGAAATTTTAAAAAATTTAAAATTTGGTCACGTGATTTATTATTCACCTGAGATGGATACTGTTCGACTCAGACTTTTGAACAAAACAAGTAATGCACCGTCTGTTTTTGTATGGTATTTGCTAACTTTACCATGGTAAGGCGCCCATATGCAAATTAGCCCATAGCTCGGTCACGTGACTTCAGAACCATCGTTGTCCCGGTCCATTCGACTCAGAAAAAAATTCTGAGTAGGATACGTCGATAATCAGCCCATTTTTTGCAAAACTGGCCATATCCCTATATTGCGGTTTTACCCATGTACCCTGCGCGCGCGATAATACCATTGCATTTGGAGAGAGCCTTGATTATTTTACAGGGCTGCGTTGGCCAATGTGAGTCCTGTATTTTGGGCCATGTTCTACGGACATTCCAGCGAACCTGCTGCCAACAGGGTCCAGGTTCCTGATGCTCTACCGGATGCCTTTTCCCATATGCTCAGGAAGGTGGTAACGACCATTTCTAATTCCTGCAAGGGTTCTTCAAACCATAAGCTATGCTGCTGCTTATTTTTGATTAAATTAAAATTAAAATCAATATGAAATCATCAGTTTGCCTGTTTTTTCAAATTGCAGCCATGTGCAGTGTCGTGAGGATCCACTGCCCAATCTCAGCCCGCACAACGTCTTCGCCACGATGAACGTCGCCATGAAGTACCAGCTGCCAGCGCTGCTGCAACACTGCAGCGAGTTCGTCAGTCACAGTCTGCGCGCCAGCAACTGTCTGCTCTTCCTCGATAACGTAAGTCGCACGCTTTTGCAGCGCGGTTTTTTCAATTTATCTTCTTACTTGTACAGTTGTGATAAGAATTTTTGATTAGTTTTTTTCGCAAGTTGTATCTCGTATTAAATAAAACGAAAAGCATAATTTTTAACCAGAACATTTTCCAATAGCCTGGTAAAATATTTCCCTTAATGGAGTGCTGCTGTAATTGGATTCTGTAAGATTATTCATGAATTCAGTAAACAGGTGCCTGACTGTTTGGTTGTTTCTGCAGGCCGTTCTATGGGGCGACGCGGAGTCTCTCAGAATGTGCATGGAGATGGTGGACGCCTACAGCGAAGTGCTTTTCTTGGAGGACTTTGCAGGGCTGCAGCATGAGACGCTGATGATGGTGCTCCGACGCAATACCCTGGCCGCCAATGAAGACAGCGTCTACAAGGCCGCCGAGAGGTCTGTAAGCTGATGAATAAAAAAAAGCTGCTGTACCTTGCCAACGCATCGATATAATAGTATTCTGAAATTGTTGGCTGCATTTATACTATTCTGGAGTTGGGTCATATTCTCATTTTTATCCCGTACAGTATTCGATTCTCTGTGAACCAGTAGGAACTGTACTGCGTAATATGCGATATCTCCATTACTGTTAATGTTGCAGTTGGGCGTTTGCGGCCTGCGCTCGCAACAACCTGGATCCATCCCCCTTCAACCGGCGCCAGGTGCTGGGCAGTGCCTTCCGCCTCATACGTTTCCCGCTCCTAACCGATGCTCTGCTCAGTGACGCCTTCATGGAGGTCAGAACCTCGCGTTAATTTACTTCATTAACAGTAACCAGAATTGATTGCTTTTAATTTGAATTAATTGGTTTAAATTAGAATCGCTTAGTTATTTTAAGTTTACTAAATCTGAGGCATGCACGTAATCAACTAAAATAAATTTGGAATTAGTTTATTTAATAGAATTAATTTTCCTGTTCATTTAGAATAAAATAATTTAAATTCGAATTGATCAGTATGTTCTGTTTCGGAATTGAATCAATTAATTGAAATAAAAATTATTCGTTTAAAATATTATTCGTTTATTCGTTAAAAAATTATTCGTTTAAATCAGTACTGGTTAATCGTTTTAAGTTTAATAAATTTGTCATAAAAAATAAATCCAATCTGAAAAGAGTAGTTTACTGTGTTTAACAGAATTAATTTCCTTTGTCATTCATAAAAACTATGTTAGAATTTATATTAGGAGATTATTATAGTCACGGGAACAGAAACCGGAAGCGTCGCACACACTGGTGTTGTTCTGTTATGTTCTATTCATCAACGTTACACAAGCAGGTTTCTTATATAGCACTAGGTACATTCACGATATTAGTAAGTTACTGCACCTAAACATCTGATAAACAAGGGGATTGGTGACCTGGATGCACCGTACACTCATAGATCAGTTAGTAGGACAATGGTCATAGTTCACAAGTAGATGACACTTTATGAGTGTATAATATATTGGTAATATATTTTCTAACACCCCCCTTCACCCAGCGCGCCATATCCACTGAAATGCACACTGGTTCCAAAGGTTCTTGATTCGGATCCTTGATATCTTTATTGATTCTCTCACGCGTTCACGTCGGCAATGTTGCACTCGGTGTCCCACGATTCCACAGTTAGTGCAAGCCGGGCAAGTTGGACATGTTCTGGTTGTGTGTCCTTGCATTCCGCAGTAGCTGCATTCGATGTCCATATCTTGATATGCGGATCCTGAAGGCCGTGGTCCTGTCCCTTGATCATCTCTCTCTTTTATTCTCTCTCTCTCTCTTTTACTCTCTCTCTCTCTCTCTGACTGAAACTCGGATACGCTGATCCGAAAGGTCCTTTAGGATATCTTCGGTTTTCTTCCTGAGTTTTGATCATCTGTTCTGTTAACATCAGCTTTTCACGGAAGACTCTCATCTTCGGATCGGGGCCTGTTTCTTTTCGTCTGCTGGATCATCTCTTTGCATCTTGTTGCTTCCATCCACAATGCTCCACACGCCTTCTCCAGTTAAGGCGCCCTCCACTTCGACTCTCCGTCGATCGTAGTTCAAGCCATTGAGTACCGTGACCTTTATCTCCTTCAACGTTGCCATCTTGGCGTCCGTAACAGTAACAGTAGTAAACCACTATACCAATAAGACACGGCAGATACAACTTCCTGCTTAGAGACAAACAGGTCTCATAATCTGTAAGAATTTATATTAGGAGATTATTATAGTCACGGGAACAGAAACCGGAAGCGTCGCACACACTGGTGTTGTTCTGTTATGTTCTATTCATCAACGTTACACAAGCAGGTTTCTTATATAGCACTAGGTACATTCACGATATTAGTAAGTTACTGCCCCTTAACATCTGATAAACAAGGGGATTGGTGACCTGGGTGCACCGTACACTCATAGATCAGTTAGTAGGACAATGGTCATAGTTCACAAGTAGATGACACATTATGAGTGTATAATATATTGGTAATATATTTCTAACAAATTATTTCAGACTCAATAATTTATTCCCTTTCTGAATTGCTCAGCTGGGTTTGCTGTCCCAAGAAGAACTGGCGCAAATATAGTGCTATAAGAACGCCACGATCAAACCATCCCTCCCATTCCCCACCGCACCCCGTCAACCTCCCGTTATTCGTGTCGCCAACATGGAGTTCAAGCACAAAGAACCGGTCTTTGTCAAGTGGGTTCGGGACGCTGAATACTGGCTGCCGGCGGAAGTCATCGCGGGGCACCCACCCCACCTTGTCGTGTCGCTGTGCGCTGGATGTCTGGGCGGTGAGAGGATACTGGTTCACACGAAGAAGATGATTCGCGCCGCGGACTTCCTAGTCCGTGAACGAGCGGTGTTGGCGCAGGGGGAGGCGGCGGAGTATGCCCGGTCGTGTTTTGGACGCCACATCGTTAATTTCGCCGGACAAAAACCGCGATCGGTGGAGTTCATTGATTTGCAAGTGTGGGATGTGGATGTGAAGGCGTGGAAGGCGCATGGAAAGAAAGCGGGGACTGGGGTGCAGCCGGGGTGTGCCGGATGTGAAAGAGCGGCAGTAGTTAGCGCTGATATTTGAGAGAATCTTTTTTTCTTAGAGTTACAGTATTTTTCTTCTAGTATTACCTTGTTCTTCGGTCTCTCTGGAGTTTTCTTTTGACAGTCGGTTGGCAACCAAAATTGGGTTTATTTAGTTCGGTATTTCAGTTGCAGAGAATTTTGACTGTCGTCGAGTAGCTAGATTGGAAGGTGTCAAAGGTGATGCACATAAAAAAGGTCGTGGTGACGTGGGGAGGAGTACACCACCCGGATGCCACGATGATGTCCGCCTTTACCTGTGAATACAAAGCATCGTGTTATTATCTAGTCATCTCTCTACCTGTGATTGGTTGTACGTTAAATCCCTAGCGATGTATGCCGTGTACTACCTGAAGTCTATATAAGCTCGAGTGATGTCTAATATCGATACGGGTCAGGAATTAGTCTCTTGATTTCTGACATTCTTACTTTTCTGACTTCCATGTGTCGAGGATTACGATGTGTATTGGATTAAAGGGCAGTATTTTCTAAAGGTTACCTAGAAGTTCGGGATTCGAGTCTAATCTTAGCTTTAGGGAACCGCAGTATACTCGCGCCGCACAGGCCATCGCCTTTATCTAATCCACGTAAAACACCGAGACCGGAAGTGAGAAGTAAGGCATTCGTTCGTGTTTCGCAGGGCTCCTGATAGGGATTCCTGGTTCCTGAGTTCGTACGCATACCGCCATCGATCCTCCAAGTTGTTTTCGCCGTACCAGTTTGAGAGAGAAGAGTGCTCATACCGCTAAGCGTGGCTGGGAAGTGGTTAATCAAGCACACCCGCTTATTAATACGACATGGCGCCCACCGATGGTTCGTAATTTTCCCGATGGTACAGCGAAAATTAAGGATGGATTTTTGATGGTGGTTTATGCGTGTTTATTGCGCAAAAGTGGTCCGTAGAAAGGCGTTGAACCGAAAGGTGCGCCGAAGGGGGCAGAGCTTCCTCGCCCAGGGCTATTACTTTTGATTGCGAGCTTCCTCGCTGTAATTTCGGTGAGCTTGCTCACCGGGCAGAGCTTCCTCGCCCATTTTTCATTAAATTTAAATTGGAAATTGAAACGGACCGTATACAGATTTACGAAACCTTAAAGGTCGTATAATTTTGCATTGCAGGCGCAAGAAGCGCAGTTTAAAGTTCAGTGGTATCCGGGTTGTCTGCATAAAGCAACGACCGCGATGAATAAAAGTGATCTGCTGTGTCAGTTAGCCTGGCCGCAGATAGAGTGTAAACATTGACTGGGTGCAGTAGCCGAGCCATTATCTGTGGCAAGGCTAGATAAAATCTTCAGCGGCGAATATAAAAGGCAACCGTGAGTGGTAGCCTGTATTGGTAATCAGCAGTCAGCGATCGCTGGCTGAAGAAATCAAAACTTTTATTTCCAGGCAGTCGATGACTGGCCTGGAAATAAAAGTTGGAAATTAAAACGCGGAAATAATTTATAATTAGTACTGTCGAAACCTCAAAGGTCGACAGTAATAATTTAATTTGTACGGTAAAATTGTACTGTACGTTTTGGCCTTTCAAACCTCAAAGGTGAAAGTGCCGTAATGGGGAAAATTTCCGCGCAGTATTTTTGGGTGATTAAACTACTGTAGTAACACAATTGTACGGTACGGTAGTAATTTTGCCTTGCATTTCAAACCTTAAAGGAGATTTGCATGGGCATTTAATTCTGATCGAAACCTTAAAGGTCGGTCGGCGATTTTTCTGTTTACAGTGACGGAAGTTGCTGTAGTGATAAAACTGTACACAAAATAGTGGTGCCGTACAATGGCATTAAAACGGATTGACGCGAAGGCATTGGCACATGTTAAAGGTGTGTAGGATGCGCATGATCAGAAACGATTTAAGTTCAACCCAGAAAAAATTCATCGGGAGTTGTTGTATCGGGAGCTGAAGGTCGAAGTACCGGAGGCAACGTATGCAGGGAAAGCCTGGGTTGAATACCAACAGGATCCGCAATCGCATGGCAGAAAGCCAAAGTACTATAATAATTGGTACACTACTGATTGCTGTATTCCTGAGCCGTATCTGAATGGATTTGTTACAGAAGAAGAATTTAAAGCCGCTGTACAGTGAGCTTTGCTCAAAGAAGCAGATTTCGTGAAAGAATTAGAAGAGAGGAAAAACGCAATGCTGCGTGAACAGCAGCAGAAACTTTTTGAAAGAACAGGAAGACAGACGCGGAATGCAGCGGAAGTCTTACCTGATCCATTTCCGGTGGAAGATGGTAATACGGTGGCAATACAGGCCAATGAGCCGAAGCAACCGGTGTCAGATTCATCGTTGCCCAGTTCAATAAACGTGACAAGTCGAGGAAATACTCCTCCGTTGTCTGACGTGGAAGATTATCGGTCGGTGATTGGGACACCACCAAATACAGAGGATAATATGAGAAAATCCAGGGGTGATGCGGTGGTCAGGCCGGGAGTGGTCTCGTTCCACGCCACTCAAATGCATTTGTATCCGCTGTTGTCGGAAGAGGACTTCGTTCCAGATGAAGAATTTATGGCCGAAGTAGCCAAGACAAACGAGAGATTCTCGGCAGTAACAAATGATTTGGAAGCCGCGGTAGCAGCTCGTGATTCTCTCCCAATATTGGTGAGGAGCTTTAAAAGGCTTATCGCAGCTACCCAGGCTAAAGTGGACACGTTTGGGCAGTCCGAGCAGTTTGACCTGCAATTACAAAAGGAACGTGAAGAGAAATTGAAGTTCCATTCGGACTTCAATGAGATGCGTAATAAATGGGATAAGGCGTGCGCCGAGCGCGATATATTCGCGGACAGAGTGCGAAATCTCAACCAGAGTTTGCTGAATAATCGCGGCGTCGAAACACAAATCAAAACTGAGTATGATCAGCTTGATGCTGAATTTCAGCAATTAAAAAGTGTGAACCATACCTTGGAAGAGTCACTCGAAGAAGTGCAGCGGGAATTGAGCTCCCTAAAAGTTGATTATGCGGCGGAAATAAGCCGAGCAGACACTAGTAAGCTGCATAACGAAAATGTAGATTTAACCAAGCAGTTGAAGACGGTAAAGGGTGAGCTTCAACAGCTAAAGGATTCCTACGCCGTCACGGTTAAACAAAACTCTGATCTCACCAATAAAGTTGATCAGCAGGAGCGGGAATTGCGGGCAGAACGCAGAAGGGTGAATCCAGATGCGGAAATGGTAGCGCAACTACAACAAGAGTTGGCTGTCGCACAGTCCCAGGTCTCCATGGGAAAACAATCCACAAGTACAGCAGTTTCTGCAGTCTGTAAAGACAGTAAAGTAAAATTGAACGCGGAAATTGCCCAGTGGAAAATTGAATGTAATAACTTGAAAACGGCAAGAGATAAAGCCGAAAATGAACTGAAGGAAGTGAAGGCACAGAAGGAAGCCAGGGCACAAGCCTGTTTAGCATGTGATAATGCGAATGCGGCAAAAGCGGAAGCGCAGTCGCTAGCATTTGAAAATCAACAGGAAATTGTCCGACTGAGGGTGGACAATGATACAATTCGAAAGGAAAATAATGAAATTCGCATTTTGTACCACAATCTGCAAAAGTACGCTAAAGATAAAACGGCGGAAGCAGCAGAATACAAAAATCAGTTAGAGGACCGTCGGGAAATTTCACGGTTATATCAACCGGAAGTACCTTTTGGCACAGCGGCAGTGGCGGCGCCACATAATCCAGAGCGATTGGGTGGGCAGGAACACTTGCAGATGCAGTTCTCTGACTCACAACCATATCGGCATTTCAGTACGGAAGTATCAGCGGGTGTGGCGGCGAACCAAAGCCGACCAGACCGGAGTGATATACTGCAGCGGCCAGCAAGTGCCACACCGATTTTGCAACAGCAGACACATCCGGCAGTTTCACGAGCTGACATTTTACAGCAGCATTCAGTACATGCGGGCCAAGTCCCACGTTATGTGTTGAATCAGATTCCGCCGCCCATGGTGAACCCACCGGTGCAGGATGAGAATCATCCAGGCGATGATCAGCGGCGTATGAATAGTCCGACTGGATCACTGGGTACGAGAGATCCGCAGATGGATGAATATCTGCAAGGACAACAAATGATTAATAAGCAAATGGCGCAAATTCTGGCCAGAACGGCAAATCAGAATTCAGATAAACCGGAAAGCGGGATTAAATTACAGCATTTTGATGAAAGCCATCCGGAAAGGATTAACCGGTGGTTGTTGTCCGTTGATCAGTGCAAAACCGCGAATCGCTGGAGTGATGCAACGACTTTTAGTCGCGTATCCGGTGCACTGGGCACAGTAGCGTTCCGTTGGTTCTCAAAACTCGTAACGGATAATCCGGATGAATCGTGGGAAAACTTTTAAGCCGGAAATCAAAAAGCATTATAATGCAGAATTGTCCAAAAGCGACATCCGGCGAGCGATGAATACTCGTACCTTTAAGTACGGTGAAACTGTAAGAGACTACCTCGACAGTTTCATTCCATGGTTTGACGAGTTAAAACCGTCCGACGAGGAACAGGTTGAGGCCATTATGGAAGGCCTGCAAACCAACAAAAAACAGTGGTATGCGAAAATTTTCGAAAATAAACCAAAGAATTTTACGGAGTTAGAAACTCGGTTACAGGAATGTGAGCGGCTTAGTAAAAAACTTTACGGGAAAAAGGATGAAGCAGATCAAAGAAATCCAGCGCCAGAGCAGCGCAGTACGGGAAATAATTCAGTAAATGTTGAAAATCGCGGTGGTCGGGGCGGCCAGTCGCAGCGTGGAAGTTATTATGCAGGCCGCGGTGGCCGTGGGAATTATGCGAATGCACGGGGCGGATATAATCGTCCGTATTCCCAGTCGAATAATTAGCAGCAGCAAAATGTACAGGCGGCAGTTCCGGTGCAACAGCCAGTACAACCGTTGGTAAATGTACAACAACCGCAAGTGCAGTACATATCTGTACCGGTGTATCCGCAGCAGCAGTCGCCAATGCCAGAATTAATCCCTGTGCAATTTGCACAAACGTTTCCGCCCCAGTCGCAGATTCAGGCACAGCAGCAGATGCCGTATCCGGTGAATGTGAATGTTGGCGCTCCAGTCGCACAAATTCCTCCGATGCAACAAGTGCAGCAGCCCGATCAGAATTATCGGCAGCAGCAACCTGCAATTAATAATAATAATAATAATTATGGCGCGAGTAAATATGCAGGCAATCAGAATAATTGGCGGCCGAATAACGGAAGCAATTTCAGAGGAAATTACCGTGGTAATAATTACCAGCGTGGTGGTTATAATGGCGGCGGATATCGCCCGCCTTATCAAAATAATAATAATAATTATGGGCAACAGAATGTAAGGCCCCTAGTTGAACAGTTTCCTCCGCCTCCGCCTGGTGCTCCAACCCAGTTAGGATTTGATGAGCGAAATATTGTCAGGGATTTGTGGAAAACAAACACAGGCGCAAAAATTTGTTACCGGTGTCATGCGGTGCACGCAGTAGCAAATTGTCAGAACCCGTTGGCGTATCCGCGGTTATACGAACCGTCTCGGGAAATTCTGGATCGATGCAACGGTGTCCGAGTAAATATGATGGATATTGATTTGCCGGCCGGCTTGAACGTCTCCAAAGTCCAGTGCAATACTCTGGAAGTTGTAAATATTGATCAGTACCCGGTGTCTAATCTTGTGTGCCATAAACCTATGTTGGACGCACAAGCATGGTACTGCATTATGGACATGAATTACTCAAAAGTAAAAGTGATGATCGATACGGGATCGAGTATTTCCGTTATGTCGCATAAAATGGCGAAGCAATTAAATCTAAATATCTTCCGGTGCCCAGATCATGTACAGGGCAGAGTAGTACATACTGCTTACCAGGGAAGACAGGCTGTTGAGCCAATGGCCGTATTAGTGACTATTCATGAATTCGGAATGGCATGGGAACATTCACTGTTGGTGAGTACTACGTTTGAGCGCGATCACATAGTACTGGGAATGGATTTCTTCGCTACTAAACCGTTCATTCTGGATATGAATACAATGACGTGGCGGCTGTCCAGGATAAAGCCGGGTGCATCAAATTCTTGGAAGAGGGTAACTCAACGGATGTCCGATATCATCCGGGATCACGATTTCGATCCATTGCTTCCGCGTGGGGTGAAGCCTGGTCCGTCGATTCCGGCGTTAATGTTGACTGAGAGAATAGTTGTGGCTAAAGAAACAAAATTCTTGCCTTATGAATCGGCACATGTAATTTTGGCAAATGCCAAACCGGAAGTGTGCATTCTGCACTTACAACGTGCCGAAGAATTAGCCCGAGATTTGAGGGAACCAGACAGCCCGCCCAGAGTGTATCCCAATCAGGTGGTAGCTCAGGCGCATGTGCAGAATACGGCGGCCCAAACAGGATTGACCGCCGTGCCCAGTCAAGTTCGTGGCGGCGGTGGTGCCCAGCAGAGTGATCACTCTGGTACTGCAATAACAGTACAGGCGGAAGTGCATTCAGTACCGATGTCAGCACAGTCAGGTGCTAGTCAAGTTTGTGGGGGTGGCGGTATTTCACCGATTAATCCTCCAGTAAATGTCTCAGTGCAGCCGCAGGCAGCTGGAATAAAAACCGGAAGTGCTCAAGTTCGGGGGGGTGGCGAAGTGAAAAAACCTACCTATTTAATACAAACACTTGATGAAGTACTGCAGCAGTATCCGGAAACGTCGTACATGTTTGTTGGCGTAACTCACGCTAATAATAAAACGATTCAGTGTATGTCCATTGGCGGAAAAACGTTGAATATTGTACCGGTGAATACGGACCGGCGTAATGTGGACGAAGTCCATGACTCACCGTTTCCGGCTCGTATGTCGCGCGACCCAGATTTGCGTCGGTGGATGATGCCGCCAGAAAAGCCGCAAGATAGGGATCGTTTCCCGTCTGAGCTTGATTTCCGTTCACCGCCGTGGGGGCCTGCTGAACAACAGAGATGTGCAGACAGCAAGCAGTGGTTAAAACTGGTAAAGAGACCGGAACTAGCAGACACAAACTTTCTGCGATTTGAAGTAAACCGGTTGTTTACCTTCGAAGGTTTGCTGTGTCGAGTGCCTGATCGTAGCGGGCAGTGTCCCAAAATTTTTGTTCCACATCAGTGGAGGAACAAGTCGATTGCCTGTTTTCATGACATATTGGTGCATCAGCAGTCGTACGGGCCAAATGTAAAATTATACCGTATTTAATGAAGGTATTTTACTGGTCGGATATAATTATCCAGGTCGACGAGTATGAGAAGAATTGCGATAAATGCCGCAATTCGTTGAATTTACCTCGTCAGTTCCAAATTGCGAAACATACGGAAGGCATCGCAGATGCGAAAAAGCCACGGGTGAGATTTTCGCTGGATAATCCGGCACCAGCGGGAGAATTTGATAACGGCACATTCGTCCCAGCAGCGGGCATGCCGGCGATCAGCATTGGTCCATGTCCTGTATCCTACGAGGATAGACAGGCGGAGAAGCAAAATGTAATGTGTACACAGGCTTCTGCGAACGTACCGCAGTCACGATCTCCAGATCCGACGGTAATGAGGCGCATCCAGACGGATTCGGATATCTTTCGGGACGTTAGTATTGAAGAGCAGCATGAGATAATGCGGCACATACAGGAATTGCGTGAGAAAAAACGGGCACAAGTCGTAGCCAGCAGAGATGTGTTGAAAGACGTTAACCTGAGTGAGCAAATGGAAATTATGCGGGAAATTGAGCAGGAAAAGGATAAAAATTCCTCACCTGTCCAGTCGGTAGTAAATGAAGACTGGGAAGAATGTCACAGTCCGGTATTACGTAGGAAGCGCAGAGCTGGCTCAGCGAAGAAATGGCTCCAGAAAGCCTGTATGAAAGCAGTAAAAGCACAAGCAGAAGCACAGGCGGAAGTATCAGTACCTGTGCAGCCGTCACAGCTGAGAGTACAGCAGAAAATTTCGCAGGATATTCGGGATGATCCGACGCTTCTTAAAGTAGCGCATTCTGTGCGGGGAAGTCATTTCCTGTATAACGAAAAAGAAGGACAGGCGGCACAGAATTACACGGAGGTAGATTCGTCTCACCTTTTGCCGGAATTTCCGCCGCTTGAATTCTGTAAAATGGAAATGTTTCCGGCATCGCCAATGATAATTCAGCCTCGATCACAGGGCATAATTTGTGATACGACGAATTTGTCGGATGACAAATTGCACGAATTCCAGGCGAATAATCTGCAGCGGAAGCCCTTTTTCTACGAAGGTAAAATTCCGGAAGATAACTGTAATGCACTAATGTTCGATGGCGTAGTGTCAGTGAATGAACATGGCAATTGCCGAGTGTGCGTTATGAATATGTCGGACAAACCGTTAGTACTAAACACAGAAACAAACCTGGGTGAAATTGCATTAGCGGAAGAAGTATATGAAATGGATTCTCCGGCGTATAAGGAGAATTATCAAGCGGAATTTTGTGATGTTTGCCGGGACGCAAACGGTGTTCCAGTACAATCAGCGTTTTGTGAATGTCTTAGCCAGCAAATCGCAGAGTCGGTTGGCGAATCTGTATTTGATGAAGAAACGGAAGAAACGTTCTCCAAAATAAAAATCGGAGACATTTGCCCCGATAAAGAGGAGTTAAGGAAAATTTTCTATAAAGCAAAAGCGGTCTTACCTACAAAAGCGAGGCCAGTCGGATTTTGCACAATTTATGAGCATTCCGTGGATACTGGTACTAGTGCTCCGGTTCGTACGCCTCCGTATCGTACGTCATTCGAAGACAGGAAATGCCTTCAGGCCAAGACGGCGGAAATGATTCGTGACGGCATAATTGAGCCAACAAACTCGGCATGGGGAAGTCCCATCTGTATTGTAAAAAAGAAAGATGGCTCACGCCGGTTAACCGTAGATTTCCGGAAGTGAAATGAGCGCTTACTTGGCAGCTCGTATCCGTTGCCCAGAGTCGATGACATAATAAACGCCTTGGATAAGGCAACGGTCTTCAGTAAGATTGATTTGAAGAGTGGTTTCTGGCAGATAAAATAAGGCCGGAAGACCGATCTAAAACTACAATGGTCGGTGAAGAATTCACCTTCCAGTACCGCGTACTTCCGTTCGGGATGAAGGACGCGCCGTCTGCGTTTCAGCGCGCAATGGATTTGACGCTCGCAGGCATGAAATGGCGCAACGTGCTCGTCTTCATCGACGACATAATTGTCTTCAGTAAGAAACTGGCAGATCACATGCGGGATTTGCAGGAGCTCTTCCTTAGGCTGCAGGAGTGCGGCTGGACGATCAATCCTGAAAAAACGGAGTTATTTGTTAACACAATTACGTTCTTGGGGCACACAGTTGACCAAAATGGTATC